AATATGACCAATAGATGCTTAAAGGAAGCGGCTTATCAGTGGGATTGGGGCTTCATTGATAATGCTTATATTGGCTATTGCCACTTAAGCCGTGGTGGTATCCACCTCAATAGATCTGGTCAGGCCACATTAGCCATGAACGTTCTTAGCTACTTATACCCAAGATCAACAATGTCAACAGACTCAGTGAAGAAAGACCACCGTAAGAGACCTTGTGTGTCCCCTAATCGAACTTATGCGGAAGCTTTTCGAGTTCACCAAGGCCAGGATTTTCTAGAACGAGCGTGGAAAACGAGGATGAGAACGCCAAATGCACCAACTACAATGCAGTCAACATAGGACAACTGACAGGACAACCGTTCTTACCTAAGACCACGCCAGCCACTACCATCACAAGCGACCAAGTGGTTCAAGTACCAGCAGTACCATCCACGTGGCTGCAGACACAAGCAATCGAATCATCCCACACCATAAGTGGCCCTGACTTAATCAGCGGGTCCATTCCTAAACTTAACGGTAGAGGTATAAAGGTTGTGGTTAGCAAAATAGATGATCTCCGACATTTATTGAAGTTGAAGCCTTTTAATGTAATTTGTCTCAATGAAACACTGTGTGACAGTATCAGATGATGAAATATCAATTGATGGGTTTACTACTGTGAGAAAAGACTGAACTAGGCACCGCGGAGGTGTTGCAATCACCTTACTTTCACAAGAAGATTTGATATCGAATCCGAGCATCTAGAAATTATTTGGCTTGAAGTAAAATATGGCCAATGTGCACCAGTTTTAGTTGGATCTGTTTACAAAACCACCTAATTCTACTAGTCTTTCCTTTGAAAAAATTGATAATGATCTATCCGCAGACGTAATGGCTAATAATGACATTATTCTACTAGATGATTTTAATTGCAATTTTTCCAAGAGTGTGCCAAACAGTAGTACAGGTAATCTGAAGTTTTATACCGAGATGTATGAGCTAACCCAGTTAATCCAGCAACTAACAAGGGTCACTAGTCGAAGCTACTATTTATTTAATATTTGTTAATAACCAAAATGTACATAATGAGAGTGGAGTGTTTTACACAGGTATCAGTGACCATTTCCTTATCTACACTATAAGGAATACTAAGCATCATGTTCAAGCCCAGCATGGCCATAATCGTATCATACAGGCCATTGCAAAAGCTTGACACACAAAATTTTATCCATGAATTATCCTGTCAACAATAGGATATTCTTGATACCACTGAAGACATTGACTTGCCTTTTGAAGAATGGATTGACATGTTCATAAATGTCGTTGATTCCCACGTTCCTCTTCGACAAAAAATGTGAGGAAAAATGCATGTCCATGGATATCGCATGATATTGTTGACATGATGAAAGAGAGAGATAAAATGGATAAAGCTGCTGTAAAATCAAATAATACAGAATAAATGGAGTGCATACCACCCACTTAGAAACCAAGTCACTTGTTTATTAATGCGTAAAGAAAAATCTGATTATTATTGTGGTGTTCTTTGGGACAACAGAGGAAATGGCAAAAAATGTGGAATTGTATTAGTGAGGGAATCTTGAAGAAAAAAACACTTTACCCAATTTGATCCATCACGAAGGCCAAAAATGTGATAGCCTGACGATATTGCAAGTGTCTTTAACAAACATTTTATTAACTGCCCAAAGAAAGTGACCGTGAAATTGCCAGAGAATCACAATCACAAAACGTGTGCATCGTATCGGAATGATAAGGTTCAAAATGGTTTTGACATCAAATTTGTTTCTGAAAGTTATGTTGCTGGGATCATAAAGAAGATGGATACAAACAAGGCCACCGGGGATGATGATGTCAGTTGCAGTCTACTAAAAATTGCTCTGCCTGTAATTCTCGAGTCGCTAACTAAACTTGTTAGCTGGTTTTTACAATCTGGTTTAATGCCTAAAATTAATAAAAGTGCAAAGGTCACGCCGGTATATAAAACTGTTGACAAGTCTGACCTAGGCAATTACCAACCAATATCTGTCCTCCCAGTAATCAGTAAAATTTGCAAAAGTCTGTCTACGATCAGCTTTATGCATATATTAATGACAATGAACTTATGCATGCTAATCAACCTGGTTTTCGACGTTTGCACTCTACATCAACTGTTCTAGCAAAATTAGTCAACCAGTGGAGCAGTAACTTTGAAACTGGCTTATTTAATGGAGTGGCTTTTATTGACCTAAGGAAGGCATTTGATACAATTGACCACAACACTCTCCTTTCTTAACTCAACTCCCTTGGTTGCTCAAATCACACGCTGAACTGGTTTTCTAACTTTTTGTCAAACTGGACTCAAAGGGTGTGCTTTAATAAAGTCTACTCTGATCGATTAAAGGTTGTCAGCGGAGTGGCACAAGGCTCAATTCTGGGCCCGCTATTATTCTCTGTATATATAAATTCCATGCCGTCAGCAGTCGCTGATGGCATAGTGGACATGTTTGCCAATGACACCACTGTTGCCATCTGCAGCAAAAGTGCAAATGAAGTTGCTGACAAATTAAATGTTGCGATAGACCAAATGAGCAGATGGTTAGAGAGTAATACACTTGTGTTGAATTTTGATAAAACCAATTTCATGATTTTAGGGACCAAGGCAAAACTGAAGAATTCAAGTGAAATCACAATATCAGTTAACCAGAGCTTAATTAAACTGGTCAAAAATACCAAATGTCTTGGATTAATAATCAACGAGGAGTTAAATGGACTGAATGGAATCTACTGTATAGTACATTTAGATGCACCTGTGCAGAATATAATATCAGTAAAGCGCAAGTTGTGATTTGCATGCTTAGTTCACATCAGTTAGTACACAATGTAAAACCTGCACATTATAAGAATATACTACTAGACAGACAAAGCGGTGTTAGATTTTGACATTTATTGTTTGGAGTTAGATTTGATCCTTTGTATGGCAACAGTGAGAAAGCAAACATTTTCTTTGAGCAACAACTCTGGCCAAAATTCATAATCTGAGGTCAAATTGTGTCAAAGTTTAATTGTGATGTCACCTAGATGAATTTTTTACAGCCAGTATGCGTTGTAGCTATGAATTCCTTGTGCTGAGTAACATTGGTTATTTCGATAAAACATGTACATGTTATTGACACATGCTTCATAAGTGGAGAACACAGCAGGAGAGAGGGCTGCTAGCCATGCAGACTTCTAATTCCTGCACCTTGTTTAGGGGGCAGTTTTTGTTACCGTAGTCACAAGTGACGTGGGGAGAAAAATGTGTCCCCACAACATTTCTGGTCTGCATAACATCAACATGTACATGTTCAACAGGTGTGTTGTCCATTAAACCCTTAGTACTGTACATCCATGTCTATGTGTGTACAGGTATACAGTGAACATGTACATAACCCAGGTTGGACTATGACATCCAGGCTGCCAGTAGGCTTGAATCATTTCCATTAATAGTCACCAAGATTTCATGGATGAGGCCCACCCATAGTGGTTTTCCACAAAGCAAAGTTTCATCCATACAGTTGTGCTCAAAGTTATTCATACTCTTTAGAAAACGTCTTCTTCTAAATTCTTCATTTGTAAAAGCTATGTTGGTACTTCTGCTATATCTTTAGTCTATTTGTTGCAACACACAAACCCACATACGTGTTGGCTAAACTTCATTTGCGTACTAATAGATACAACTGAGGTTTCTTTTTGCTCCTGGTCAAAATTATTTTTATCCCAGGTTTACATAGTCCAAAGTCTCTTCTCAGTAGTCAATAACATGGCTTTTGTTGTTGATGACTACCTGAAGACGGTTTCTATAAGTGTCTACAAGCTTTCTGCATGACTCCTGTGGGATGTTGGCCCATTCTTCTTTGGCGAAAGCCTCCAGCTGGGTCAGGATGGTCTCCTGGCCATCACTCTGGTCTTCAGTTCCCTCCACAGATTCTCTATTGGATTTAGGTCAGGAATTTGATTGGCCATTCCAGTACACCGACACCATTGTCCTTGAACCAATGCTTTACTACCTTGGCGGTGTGCTTGGGCGGTGTGCTTGTCCTGCTGGTACATGTATGTCCAATCAGGTCCAAGCTTGAGTTTCTCAACAGATGCTTTCACATCGTTATTGAGGTTTTTCACTGTGTTGAACTTCTTATGCTTCCTGATGATACTCTGAATTTTGGCAAGAGGGACCTCATATTGCTTGGAAATTGCCTTGCAGCCTTTGCTTTCTTTATAGGCATTCATGATACGCTGGCGTATGTCATCACTGAGTTCCTTCTTCTTGGCCATGGTGATTAGTAACTGAGAATGATCTGAAAACTTTTCTTATTTTTATACTCTTTTTTGAGGTGGCATTTCATCAGAATCTTGAACACAAAGTCATTGAAAGAAGATATCTATCCATTCAAACATCTTAAAATAGCTTCATGCCAAAGATTCTTGCAGTCATAGAAAGTTAAAATAAGCACGATGAATGAAAGGATATTTTTTCTTGGGATTTTGTCTGGGATATGAATACTTTTGACCAGGAGCAAAAAAGAAACCTGGGCCGTGTCTATTATTATGTAAATAAAGTTTTGCCAACACGTATGTGGGTTTGTGTGTTGCAACAAATAGACGAAAGATATAGTGGAAGTACCAACATAGCTTTTACAAATGAAGAATTTAGAAGAAGACGTTTTCCAAAGAGTATGAATAATTTTGAGCACAACTGTATGTTAGTTGGATGTTGCCAACACAGGATTTCCTCATATTAATGTGTCATAATTCATTTTTTTAGAACATTTGGTCAGATAAATTTTGTTACTAGTATGGAATGGTCACTGTCTTTCTTTAATTTCACACTCTATCCAACATCTCCCTTGAAAAGAGAACCTTGGGTTCTGTGATTATGATTATCAGATTTCTCTTTTCTAAAAAAGCTTTTATAGACTACACATTTTGCATTCTTAGATGCTCATGTACTTGACTAATTATCAGTTGGTATCATAAATCTTTGACAGATACTGGTTCAGAGGATATTTACGTATTGAAGAATGGCTTGGCTTTGATAACCTCGGTAAGTACAGGCATCTTTGATGTGCATTTCCCATGGCGTAATTGTTCTTTTGCTTCAGGCTCTCATTCCAAGCCAATTTGGAATAAAAGGAGCTAGCTTTATTCAGTCAAAGCTTTACTGAATGAAGCTAACACATGGGCATTTGGGGGCAGGGGATACTTGCTCCTCCCCCCGCCCCACTAAAAAAAGGAAAAATATGTTGAAACAAATGGAAGAAGATGAAAATCATGAATTTGTTAAAAGAAAAGACCTTAAAATCAATCTTTTTCCATTGGAAATTGTGTATCAGTTTCTTGGTGAGGATCTTTTCCCCCAGAAATTCCCCCTAAAAAAAGCTCCCCAGCTAAAAAATTCCTGGCGACATCCATGAGCTAGCATTGTCTTATTGTGCGTTGCAAGGTCAGGCTTGTAACATATTTGATTCCAGGACTAAAAGGTGTGTGACCTTTACTTATAGGGTTACCAAAAAAGCAGTGGGTAGTACAGTGAACTGACATTGGCATCACCAGGAGGTGGGGCAAGACTCTTGTAAGGCTCTTTCTAAAATGAGGGCAGCGGTAGCACTTATTTTTAGCAAACGAATGAACCAACAGTGGAAGCAAGGGGTCAATTTTGAGATTTTTCAAAACAAACTCATTGTCCCTTTTTCCCATTGGTGGAGATTTCTTGTCACATGGAATGATTTCTGAAAGCTCACCACCGCCTCCATCCCTGGTGAAATAGTGACACCGGCAGGTGTGGAGTCGGTGGTGCTGGCTATAAGGGTCTCATACAGGTACCAAGTGTGTTGAAAAGTAAGGGGAGGAGGGATGACTATATTGGTTATCCCCGCCGGGTCAACAAGTGGGGGATATATCTCTCCACCTCCAGGATTTCTGCCCATTCTTGTCCCCATTTCATCTTGGATTCTTTTCCATTTTCTTTTTTTTGGGGGGGGGGATTTTCCCATTTTTTGAGTTGACAAGTGTACAAACTCTATTTAGACAAACATCCACTTATACATGTAGTGAACATTATCAGTTCAAACTGAATTGAGCATGTTCCTGTGGGGAAATATATGCTTAACATTTCTATTATGTTATGGTTAATACAACGTTTTTGTTAAAAGTACAACAATTTTGTCTGTGACCATTCACATGTACAAGAAATATTTTTGTACGGTTTGAAATTGGCAATGCCTGTGTTGTTAAAGATATCAAGGCAGTTTGATGATAACTACATGTACACGTAGATAATATTACATTTAATGGTGGTCTGACTTACACTTTGTGATGGTGTTATTTTATACCCGTGTGGAATTAACTGCTTTTTTTCTGCAGAGAAATTTTTGGAAATGCAGTAACCAAACTTTGGGAAAAGAAATCAACAAAGTAACTTGGTGCATGATTGATATCAGGAACTTGACTTACAAAAAAAGAAATTTCAGAAATGTAATTACCTTTAATGTAAAGCTTATACATTATCATATAAACAATATTAATATTTATATTGTGCAGTTTATGCACATGTACTCAAGCATCACATCACGGAACCCATAACTTACAGAAACTCAGTGTACAATGCTAAGAAAAGCTTCCACTAAAAGATACACATCCATGCACATGTACATTTTTGACAAAGTTTAAATACATGTGCATCAACAGATTTTGCATTTCTTACACAAAACAGTAAGTTATTTCAAAGCCTGCAAGCAAATCTGCTGTTCCCTTATGATATAGAATGCTAGTCTGATTAAATGTCAAAGAGACAAATTCTGGTAACTAATGTGTTTAGAAGCTTCACTGTACACGTGTGTGGTACATGATGTCCATGCAAGTGAGCATTATCAAAAAAAAGAAGACTGTTTGTAGCAAATATCAGTTGTATCCTGGACTCCTCACAGTTGATAAAAACAGGCAACAAAATTCAAAGAAACATTTATACAACATACCCTCTAAATGTTGGAAAAAGGTGCCAAAATTACTATCAAATATCTATGAGTCTTACCTCCAAACCAGGTTTTTTGGCCATAAAAAATTAACTACATTTACGTCAAATCTCTTAGGCATACCACTCTAATGACAGATCTTTTTGTCCCCTCTAATATGATATTTTGGGGTATCTGTTGTGGTAGTTATGAGTTGTGGCTACTTGGAGTCTTGAGAGAAAAAGGCACATGAAGAAATCGGCCATGGAGACTACAGGTGCTTTGGTTGGATCCACATCCAGTTTCTCTCAAAAAGAAGTGAAATGCCACAATCTGCTGTCGTACATCTTGTAGGTGGACAGATGTCGTCCCTATGCAGCCACGGTGACAGGGTCAAGGGACAGTCCTGCTGCTCAGGAGGATCACTGCACAAGGGCCAGTGTGTCAGGTGCTGGTCCACTGGATTTGGGTGCACAACACTAGACTTGGGCTGTTAAAAAAATCCCTCCTGGACAGTAGGACCAACTGTTGATGTGCAAGGAGTCTGATCAGGCATGAGAAACATGGTTGACCTGGCTTGGGGGCAATAAGGAACACATAGCAGTGGTCCTCTTCAATCTTGGATATGCTGGAGAGAAGGCGTATGCCAGCATGTCATCCTAGTTAATGTGTCCGTTGTCAAATCTGACGCAGAACACTGGCAACTGAGCATTGTCCACTGCTGCAAAGAGCTCCATGTATGGTCTGCTGAGATGTTGAAGATCATGCAAGTCTTTTCTGGGTACAGAGTCCACTCGAATGGACAAACTGTACCCCTGGAAAAGGCATTCGCTAACAAGTGGCAGGACCCTGAATATGTGTGGCCTGAAGAATAAACTTGAACACAAGATTCAGTCAGCCAATAGGAGAACTATTCCACTGAGACAGCCTTGGCCAGTATACAAAACGACATTCTGCATGGTACTGACAAAAGAGAGAAGCCAACTTAGTGCTGTTTGATTATATATAACGGGTTTGCCCTTACCCAACGTATATTAATAAGCACTGTATGCTCAGTGCTTATCCGAGAGCTTGTGAAAAAACTCA